CGGGAGCGCCGCGCATGCGTGGTTCCGCCCCCTGCGCCAGCCGAGGCGTAGCTGGCAAGCGGCAGAGACGGAGCAGGCCGACCACCAGCTGGCCCAGCTCAAGGGAGGTAAGGCACCCGCCGGAAAAGGGGAAAAAAATGGCGGACAGCCTTGCTTGGCGACCCCCGTGAAATGGTCGATCGACCCCAAATGGGGTCGCAACCCATAGGTTGAGAACCGCTGCTATAGAGAAATTTTAACATTACTACGAATATCATTTGACTGGCCCTCAAAGGTGGGAGCCAGGAATAACTCCACATTCTCATCTGTGACCAGTAGATGGTGTTGTTACTCCCCTCAATCCACTCTCCCAATACAATTAGCCTGTCTCTCTTTTAACAGATCATAACAGAATTCATGCTACTGATGTCCTCCATGCTGTCTGGTATCTTTCATCCCAGCCCATCCCAGGCCTCCCAACTATGATTAATGACCAGGGGTCAGCAAGTGATTCTGGTAAATGTTATGACGATGTCTGGCTATCCTGAACTGAATATCTTGGTGCAGTGTTGTTGTTACAGGTAGTCCTTAAAATAGCCATAGCACCTAGACTTATATACCGCTTCACGGTGCTTTACATCCCTCTCTAAGCGGTTTACAGAGTCAGCATATGGCCCCCCCCAACAGTCTGGGTCCCTCATTTTACCAACCTCAGAAAGAGGGAAGGTTAATGTTCCCAGCGTTCTAACCATGGACCATGTTGGCTGGATCTATTCAAGAATTGTGTTTGACTATATTAAGCACTCCGCAAGTTCAGATCAATTCATATAAATAATTGCAGGTCCGGCCTCCTTGATGCTTGCAGCTGAGAAATGTATATATCGAGTGGGTCAAACTGCAGGTGCCTTCAGCTGTTTGCACAAGTGTGTCTCCTTGGTCATGGTAACAGAAGGAGCCATTTTGTCTTAATTGTAGAGGTGACTCTGACTAAACCCCTTGTAAAATGGTATGCTTAATTGAGCAAAGAACTAAGGTGCTGGAGAAGAGTCCTGCAAGTCCCCTGGACTGCAAGACGATCAAACCGGTCAGTCCTAGAGGAGATCAACCCTGACTGCTCTTTAGAAGGCCAGAGCCTGAAGTTGAAACTCAAATACTTTGGCCACCTAATGAGAAGGAAGGACTCACTGGAGAAGAGCCTAATTCTGGGAAAGATTGAGGGCAAGAGAAAGAAGGGGACGACAGAGAATGAGGTGGCTGGAGGGAGTCCCTGAAGCAGTAGGCCTGAGCTTAAATGGACTCCAGAAGATGGTAGAGGACAGGAAGGCCTGGAGGAACGTCGTCCATGGGGTGGCGATGGGTCGGACACGACTTCACAACCAACAACAACAACAAAGTGAGCCCAAAATAGAACAGGGAAATACTGCCTCTATAAGGAACGGTCTGTGAATAACCTGATTTCCTGCCCAGATTCAGACAGCGGGATCACTCACGGCCACCTGGGATACGTCTTGTCCAAAACGTACACGCCAACAGATGACAGCTACGGCTGCTTGGCAGGCAATATCCCATCACTTGAATTGATGGCCCTCTACGTGGCTGCTGCCATGCACGATTATGACCATCCTGGGAGAACCAATGCTTTCTTGGTGGCAACCAGTGCTCCTCAGGTAAGTGGGGCAGGATTAAGGGAACACACTTGTCAAGGGCAAGAAATCAGGAGTCCAGGCAGTTCAAGTGAAAATTTAGGTTGATTGTATGTTAAAGCTCTCTACAAGAATCTGAGCTACTAACAGTCAAAGTGAATTGGCAGTGGATAAGAGTCAATGGAATTCAAGGTGGGCTGGGCTTGTGGGCGCAAAGGGACTTGAGACTGACGATAGGTTGGACCCTCTCTGCCGGACTCAGTCTGGTCATCTCCTACAACAGGGGTCTTCAAACTTGGCCCTTTTATGACTTGTGGACTTCAACTCCCAGAATTCCTCAGCCAGCGCGCCTGGCTAAGGAATTCTGGGAGTTGAAGTCCACAAGTCATAAAAGGGCCAAGTTTGAAGACCCCTGTCCTACAACATCATGCTTATGCAGCTAAGAATCAGAAAGAGCCTTGTAGCACATTTTCAGATTGCCAACTTCTGTTCTAGGGCATATAGGCTTTTGTGAGCTGCTCCCTTCCTCTGGGTTGTGGAGTGGCTCAATTTGTTACACACAATCAGTAAGTCGGAAAAATTGATGGAGTTCACCAATCATATTCAGGTAATCCTTGCTTAATGACCAGTCATTCAGGAACCGTTTGAAGTTACAACGGTGCTGAAGGGGTGAGACTCATCCAGTCCTCCTCATTGAGGCTGTCCCTGTAGTCAAAACGATTTCAATTTGGGCACTTGGTGACTGGCTCGCAATTACGACATCACAGCATACCGCAGTCCGATGACTGCCATTTGCAATCTTCACTGCTGGCTTCCCACGAACAAAGTCAGTCGGAATCTGGCAGGAGATCTCAAATAGTGACCACCTGACATTCTCACTAATGACCATGTGGAATTCACTTAACAGTGGAAGCTGGAACTAAGTGGCATCATGCTTAACAATAGTACCGATCCAAATTACAGTAGATAAGTAAGGACTGCCTGTACGTAGGTCTCCATGAGCTTAGCAAACTCATTTGCTGCTTTCCTGGGACTAGATTCTCCACCCATTTTGTAGACAGAAATTGAGTGGTGATTTCTCTAGGGCAGGGGTCCCCAACCCTCGGTCTGTGGACCGCCATGCCAGAAACCGGGCCACGCAAACAAGCGAAGCCCCATCTGAGGGATGCAGGTAGCACATGAAACCACGCCCCCTCCAGTCCGTGAAAAAACGTCTCTCCACAAAACCAGTCCCTGGTGCCCAAAAGATTGGGGGCCGCTGCTCCAGGGGAAAGAGAAATTGTCTGACAATTTTTCAGAGGCAAGATTCCCTCCATAATTGCATAGGGGGAGAACTTTGTGGCTGGCAGGGGGAATTCTGGGAATCGAAGTCCACAGGTCTTAAAGATGCCGAGGTTGAACACCCCTGGCTTAAATGCTCGTATGCCAGCCATTCTAATAGCTATACACCTTACAAAAATATTTGTATGACATATAGCACTTTAAAAGCATTTAAAATTCCAGAAGAAAAACTGATGCTTTCCTTTGGGATTTAATAGCGAGGTGGGAAGCCAGGAACTTGTCGATCACTAGGGACATGATGGTTCAGTAAAAGACAGGATGTTCGCATGCAAAGCATGGGCCTCGTCCTTAAATCAGTACACAATCACTATGGTTCACCCTTGAGAGTTTTCGCCAACGTTCTGTTCTGTTTTCTTTTTAAATAAGTTCTAAAGCAAATTCCCTTTCATGCAAATGTGGTTAATTTGGGGAATGCATATCATTTATTTAGTTTCAGCAGACCGCAACCCTCAGATCTTTTGGAAATGAATATTCTCTCCATCTCTCTGTGGATGTAGGCTGTTCTATATAATGACCGTTCTGTTCTGGAGAACCATCATGCAGCGGCTGCATGGAACCTTTTCATGTCCAGGCCAGAATATAATTTTTTAATCCATCTCGATCATGTGGAGTTCAAGCATTTCCGGTTCCTGGTCATCGAGGCCATTTTGGCCACTGATCTGAAGAAGCACTTTGATTTTGTAGCTAAATTCAATGCCAAGGTAAACACAATCCCTGCGTCTCATTAAGTTTCAAATCTTTATATAAGAGCCTAGAAAATCAGCAAAGGGGAGGATATGGGATATAAATGGCAGGGCTTAATCATGCGATGTTGCAAGAACAGTAATCTGGAACCAAGCTACTCACACTAGTACAGAAAGAGTGTGGAGAAAAGCAACAAAGAGGGTTAGCAGCTCGGAGGCTAAATCTTAGGAAGAATGGAGGGCAAAGTGCAAAGAAATTTTGGTCCAAGATTCACATATGGCTGGAAAAGATGACTAAAGTACAGATAGAATTTCAGCCAGAATTGTTTTTGTTAGGAATACTAGGATCTAATTATGGCAAAGAGAATGAGTGTTTAATATTACATATATTGACAACTGCGAGGCTAGCATTTGCCCAATATTGGAAAAATGAAAATGTACCATCGGATGAGATTATAATTAGGAAAATTCTAGAATGTGCAGAAATGGATAGACTAACTTTAGAGGTTAAAGAGAAAGAAGACTCAGTTTATTTTAAAACATGGGAAATTTTTTTATCAATGGTTAGCAAAATGAGTTAATGGAAATTGATTTTGTAATTTATTAAAATGATTGATGCTTATTGATTAATTGATATGCTTTATAATTATTGCTATTTTTGTTGACTACAGTTACTTATTATGATATTAACTATTCCCACTGAATACTTGTACCCGGACGATAGTTTGTTTGCTAAAGCTTGGAATGTCATTGGGGGCAACCCCATTGTTGTACCTACCCCCATCCCAATCCCTTCTCTGAACAGCACCCTGAACCCCATTACCTATACCGACCCTTTTTTCCCCATATCTTTATAAAACTTAATAAAATACTTATTAAAAAAAAGAAAAAGAAAGCAAGGACATTTTATTTATTGGTTTGTTTTCTCAAAAGTGCTTTTTCAAAAGCCAACCGGGATGGGTGTTTTTTTTCTTGAAAACAGTTCAATTGCCTTTTGAAAAAGCACTTTTAAGAAAACTGTGACCTGGATGACTGAGAATCTCCATAGACGTATTTGTTTGCTTTTAAATTAAGGTACCACCCACTTAGGTGAGCTCCTGAATTGTTTAACTAACTAACAGGTCAAATTGGGTTGCAAATAGGGGTAGAAGTTTATAAATCTCAGGCTTGTTTCATAAGGGGGAAAGCTATTATTGTTGCAATATATTTTTGCGAGTGTACAGACTAGGGGGGGGATTTAATACGTGTTTTTGTTTTTTGTCCTTTTAACTCTCATTTTTAAAAACATTTTTTTCTAGGTTTGTTTTTTCTTTGTAATTTTTTCCCCTTTTCTTTTGTATTTTGTATTTTAATTTTCTGAATAAAATAAATATATATATACAAAAAAAAACAACACAGCTGAAAAAGTAGCTGCGACAAAGACATTGTTTTTTGAACCTTGAATGATATTTCCTTCACAGGCGTACTTTGGATTGGTATACAAATAAAACATTAGAACATAAAAACTATACATAAAATTAAAAAAAGGGGCAAAGATGGTTAAAATCCAACATTAAAGCTAAATTAAAGCACCTTCAGAGCACTAACCAGCTCGACGGCTGCATGTTCCTCTGAGCAGCCCACGCAAGGCTGCCGAGCCATGTTTTCATGTCTTTCTAGAAGACCAGGAGAGTGAGGGTCCACCTCACCTCTGGGGGGAGAGTGTTCCAGAGAAGGATCTCTTTCTAGACCCCCCCAGTCAAAAGTCTTTAACTGGTGGGGTCCACAACATGCCTTGTGGCGAGATGAGTGGCAAATAAGATATAGAGCAGGGGTGTAAAAACAGCCAGCCCGTAGGCCAGATGCATCACGCGGAAGCCGCACCCACCCCAGATGGATGGATGGATGGATATCCGACCAACCAACTTACCTGCCCTCCCTGATCAGGTTGAATGGGTTGATGTAATGGGGCAGACACATTTTTGTAGGTAACCTGACCCCTGCCACATAAGGGCTTTAAAGGTCATAGCCAGCACCTTGAATTTGTCCTGGAAGCAAACTAGCAGCGATAGACATGATAGAGGTCTTCAAAGGCATGTCACAAAAGAAATTGGGTCTAGATTTATTCTCTGTAATGCTTGAAGGTAGCATCAATCGACAGAAGATTTACAGGAGAGCCCAACGCAAAATAAGGAGGAATTTCCTGACTGTGAGGACTCTTATGCAGTGGAGCAGTTTGCCACCTGGAGTCACAGGTCACTAAAGATTTTCAAACGATTTGTTTGGGATGATCTTGGGATTCCTGCCCTCAGCCAGGAGGTGTAGGGGAAGGCCTCCAAGTTTTTTTTTTCCAGCCCTTCAGTTCAATGAAGAACTCAAATCATCTTGCATTGTCAGTCCTGAAGAAAATTGAAAGACCCACCCAGGATGGGGAAGAGAAATTAAAAGCTGCATTTAATGTCACATTCAGACTGAGGCGTTGCAGTCATGTCAGAATTGCATGAGAAGGAAAATGTCCATGGAGATTCTCAGTCATCCAGGTCATGGTTATCCCAAAGGTGCTTTTTCAAGGGGCAAGTGGACTTTCTTCGTTTGTCCTTGAAGGCGTTTCACTTCTCATCCAAGAAGCTTCTTCAGGTCTCAGTTCAGAAGAAGTTTCAGTTCTGAAGAAGCTTCTTGGATGAGGAGCGAAACATCTTCAAGGAAAAACAAAGGAAGTTCAGTTGTTTCTTGAAAAAGCACCATTGGGACATGAGAAGGAAAAGTTGCATAGTGGAGGAAGGAATAAATAAATTCTTGGCTAAAAATGAGAAAGTCAGTCAAATCTAGCTACTGTGATGGGCAGATGCTAGGGCAGTGGTGGCGAACCTAAGGCATGCATGCCGTAGGTGGCACTCCGAGCCCTTTCTGTGGGCATGCGCACTGTTGCCCCAGCCTCGCCTTCCCCCGTGGCCCCCTTCTCACCAGCAGCCCCCCTGGAGGAGAGTCGCCCCTGAGTGCGGCCCGCACGGAGCAGCACAGCCAAGGACATGGCAGCCGGGCAACGGGGACAAGACTCCGCCCTCGGTCCCGTCGCGCGCAGATGCTGCTGCGGGGTGCGGGCAGAGGGCGTGGCTGCCACAGCGCTGCTGGGCTGCCTGGGCGATCTACTGCGGCGGGCCGGGGAGGCAGTGAGTGGCTTTGTGGGGGAGCGGGGGCGGGGCGCAGAGCGGGGAGGCAGGGGCAGTTTTTGAGCACTCAGTCTCTAAAAGGTTTGCCATCACTGTGCTAGGGTTTCCCTGGAGCTAGCCTTTCTCCAGCAGACACCTTGCTAGATAAAAGTGTTCTTCCTTCCTTCCACCAAGTCATATCAGAAAGGAGCTGCAACCAAGAAGATTACAGATAAAAGAATGATGCCATCAAATGCAAGACTATCCTATTTTATAAAGAAGCTGAAGAAGTGTGACTGGGATGACAGATTGAGAGAATAGCAGAATTGGAAGTGACCTTAGAGGTCTTCTAGTCCAACCCCATGCTGAAGCAAGAGACCCTACACCCGTGGTGGCGAACCTATGGCACGTAGAGCCCTCTCTGTGGGCACGCACACCGTCGCCCCAGTCCTAGGCCTTCAGCTGGGTTTTATAAAACCATTTCGCTTTAGGCCTTCACCGCCATGTGCAAAAAAAAGGTTCAATCAATCAATCAATTTTAACTTCTCACGGGGAAAAAAAAGATCTCACAAAGTTGGAATTGATTGATTGAACTTTTTAGTCCCACCCAGTCTGCTCTTATCACCGCAGCCATGCCTACCCAATTGGCCACACCCACCCAATGGGCCACACCCACCCGGCACCAGACAATGCATAAGTGGATTTTGGGTTGCACTCGGTCTCTAAAAGGTTTGCCATCACTGCTACTATTCTGGACAAATGGCTGTCCAGTCTCTACTTAAAAATCTCCAGTGATGGAGCACCCACAACAGAACCAAAGCAGAATCAGATCTGATTAGTACATGTATGGGAAGAAAACCAGAAATTCCCAGGGCTAGAAGCTAGATAGAGAAGTTAAAAAAAAAGATGGTAGTGATAAACCAATATTGTGGTAAACCAAGGAAACGCATAATGCACCCAAATAATAATCCCGACCTAGGAAAGGGTCCTTGTGCAGTGTACATCATGTTCACCTTTGGAATTGCATTATGTTATGTTTGATCACAACAATCTCAAGATAAACCTCTTCTAATAGCATGTTATCTGCCAGGTGAACGACGATGCGGGCATTGATTGGACAAATGAGAATGACCGATTATTGGTTTGTCAGATGTGCATCAAACTGGCCGACATCAATGGTCCAGCCAAGTACAAAGATTTACATCTAAAGTGGACAGATGGCATTGTGAACGAATTTTATGAACAGGTGAGAAGACACAGTTGCTGTGAACAACTTTTTTTTTTTAACTGCCTTAGGGATAATGCCCGTCGTTTTAGTCTTTAGCTTATTTTCCAAGCTTTGAGAATGGCAAGGACTTTTCTCTGGACAATTCACAATAACGAAGGCAAATTATTTCCATAAACCATAGTGAACCATTTCCTCTTAATCCATTCTTCTAAATAATCAAATGTTTTGCTTCCATGTTTCAAAACTTTAAAATGCAAAAAAAAAACAACAACCCCAAACTCCTCCTTCCTTAAAAGCTGTTGGTCATTATTTTAAAAAAATATATATCTTCAGAAGACATGCTAAAAGAAGCAGAGTTGGTTGTCAACATTTTAAAATCCTGGTTATCAGCCCAGTTGTGCAAGCATACCTTGATCATATAATGGATTTGTTGCTCTGATTAATGTCTTTTTCTTTTTTAGGCTGCTTTGTAATCGAAAATAGTTTTCTGAACAACCTTCAACGGTTTACAATTCCATCCCTAAGGGATATTTAAGGCCACACAAGAGAGACAGCCATCCTAAATTCGTTGCTGAATTTATCCATTTTCATTGTTCATATAATACTTTGAACTTTAAACTGACCAATGGGATGGACCAAACAAAACAACTCTGTTCAGATTATCACGCATCACCTGATTCCTGAGGCAATCTGCTTCCTGGATCCATATAATGTATTGAACCATAAGCCGACTTAACAAGTTTGCAGAACATACTCAAACACAGCCATAAAAGGACCTCTTGACTAAGGTTAAAATTAATTGAGTTTTAGTAGGTCATTTGAATACAGATGCTTGGCCTTGTAGTAGTTTACTTCCCACGTGCATATAACAATGATCTTCCTCAGTCTGGCTCCCGCCAGGTCTTCTGGGATTCCAGCTCCAAGAATTCCCAGCCAGCATTCTTGAATTTTGGAAATCTGGGAGCACATCTGAAGGTTGAGAAGGGTGGGTTAGCCCCATTAGGGAATCAGCCCCAATTGCCTTTGATTAATAGAGTGCCTCCTGTTTTCCAAGGGTGATGAAGAAGCCAGCCTAGGTCTCCCCATCAGCCCTTTCATGGACCGCTCTGCTCCGCAGTTAGCCAAACTCCAGGAATCCTTCATCACTCACATTGTGGGACCACTGTGTAACTCCTATGACTCAGCAGGACTGATGCCAGGTAAATGGACTGAAGATAACGATGAGTCAGGAGATACAGATGAACAGGAAGAGGATTTTCCAGACATGGATTCCTGTGACAATCATGAACCAAGTATGTTTGTCCTCGTTTTTATTTTATTTTATTTTATTTTATTTGCCTCTGACCCACGGGTTTCCCAATAAAAATGCTGCGTGCCTACCGCAAACTCATTTCGCAAAAGTTATTCCGAATCAAATGCATGGTTTGTGGCAAGGAGACCAACAAGATAGTAGATGTAAAGCGTTTGGATTTCAGTAAAGGAGAATATTTATAGCTCAGGGTGGAAAAGTCTACAAATGTTCTCTTGTGTACTTTTCATTACCCAAACTAGGTAACGTCATCGATGCTAATCTATTAGCACTGTGGTGTTACCTAGTTTGGGTAATGAAACAACTGCAAGGAAAAAATCAAGCTCAGAGAACACCAGGGACCCCTCATTTGGATTTCTTGGAAATATGTTATGTGGGGTTTTGGGGCAGATTAGTTCCACATTCCGCAAGTAAGCCACCCAAAGCCATTTCGAAGCTAGATTGGGTGGCAAACAAATATCAATCAATCAATCGATTGACCGATGAGTTTGTATCATTATGATTGTTTGCCACCCAATCTAGCTTCAAAATGGCTTTGGATGGCTTCCTTGCTGAGGGTGGAGCTATTCCATCCCCTTGGTGCACGTTGGATAGCGTGCGAGCGTGAACTGAACAAACTAATACTCTTTGGCAGCCAAATAACTACTTTGTTCACACACTGTAGTGTCCCGGCTAATGTAACGTTGCCATTTGTGAAATAATAATAATAATAATGGGTGAATTCCAACAATAAAAGCCAGCAAAACTGTAAAGAGCAAAACTTTCTAATATAGCAAAACTTACAGTTAAAAAGATGGGGAGAAAGGGAGCAGGATACGCCAGTGGGAGGTGGGATCTTCCCCTAATCTGTCAATCACCTCCACTGTGATATGCCCCCAAGCCAATTGGCAGAGCCAGGTCTTCAGGCCCTTATGGAAGGTCAGATGGGTGGGAAGAGATTTCACCTCAGGTGACCTACATAAGTCTCTAGCTCAGATTTGCTATCCAGTCCCATTTCGACACATGTATTTACTCAGGTCTGTCTGCATGTTCTGTAACCTTGATTTGAGTGACACACAAGCCAAAGCAGCATTCTTTCTTTCATTCAAAGTTATGCTAAAAAAATCCAAATTGGGGGGGGGGAGGGAGAGAAATATCTAAATCAGGGCTGTTCAATCTTTTCACCCATTGTACCACTTTTAGGATATGGCAACATCTGAGTACCACCAGTCGCCTAGCAAGGTGTCAAAAACTCGATGACCCCCCCCCCAAAAAAAGGAAAAAAGTGATGAAGTACTGGTAGTCCTCGACTTACAACAGTTCGCTTAGTGACTGTTCGAAGTTACAATGGCACTGAAAAAAGTGCCCCCCAAGCCACAGCTGAGCAAGTCACCTGCCTGCCCACCCGGCGGCGCTCTTCCTCCTATCCGAGGTTTTCATTGTTGTGAGCATTTCTGTTGAGGATTGGCAGCGGGGGTGGGGTGGGGTGTGTTTGGTTTTTATTCCCTGTCTGCTGGGTGGTTGCGGCAGGTTTTGGTCACTTCACATGACCCTGGGACACGGTGACCGTCATAAATATGAATCAGTTGCCAAAAATCTGAATGTAAATCACAAGACCCTGGAGATGCTGCAACATTCCAGCTGATTGGTGCTTCTTCAGGGCTCAGCAGAAGCACCAGGATCAGCACCGAGCTCCAGCTGGAGCCTGGCGCTGATCCTGGTGCTTCCACTGAGCCCTGACAGCCCTGCAGCTCCAGCCATCTCTCGCCCACCCATTGCTTCTTGTCCTGCCTTCAGGCGCTTTGGAGAATAGCTTGACTCCCTTTTCTTTGGGGCAGCCCCTGAGATATTGGAACACTGCTATCATGTCCCCCCTCGTCCTTCTCTTCATTAAACTAGACATACCCAATTCCAGCAACCGTTCCTTATATGCTTTAGTCTCCAGTCCCCTGATCATCTTTGTTGCTCTTCTCTGTACTCTTTCTAGAGTCTCAACATCTTTTTTACATCGTGGTGACCAAAACCGGATGCAGTATTCCAAGTGTGGCCTTACCATGGCATTGTAAAGTGGTATTAACACTTCACGTGATCTTGATTCTATTGATATAGATGTAAGCCAGATTTTGCAGACTTTTCTCCCAATGTGAATGAGGCTTTACGTTTGCTTGTCGCCTTTGGCAGGAAAAAGAAGGAGGAACGTCTACTGCCAGATAACTCAGCACTTGCTGCAGAACCACCAGATGTGGCAGAAGGTCATTGAAGAGGAAGAGAGGAGAGCTGCGAAGGACAAGCAAAGCGGGGAGCCATCAACGGCGCTGCGCCCGTCCTCTGAGCAAATAGAGGCGATTAAAGAAGAGGAAGAGGAGAAAGGAAAGGCCAAAGAGGAAGAAGATAACACAGCTCCAGAAGAAAACCAATGACAGTGACAGGAATTTTGTACAGTATTTGATGCAAGGACCCCTTGCATACCAATTGTTTTTACAAGCCAGCACAACGTTTAGACACGACACTGTAGAAATACGGGATAATTCACCTACAGCTGTTTTAAGTTTTCCTTCCTTCCTTCCCTCCCTCCCTCCCTCCTTCCTTCCTTCCTTCCCTCGCTCCCATGAGGTACATTGCTTTCACAGTTCAACGGCCATTTTTACAAATTTTCAAATACATTGGAGAATTATAAATATATACATAAAATACTAGCCTGGGTTTATAAGCTGCATATTTGTTTATTTGTTCTTTTTAAAAAGATGATTATATGATGCTGCCTGTGATATTATTAAAAAAAAAAGGAAAGGGAAGGATTTGAAATTGAGACAATACTCAGTGAAACGGAGAAGGCCGTACTGCCCTTGGTTGTTGTTTTTTTGTTGTTGTTAAAGTGGAGCAACTGATTGTGTCAGTTAATGGTTGATCCCGACTGCCAGCATAGATGCGCCTGCAGGACATCCCGGGCACACAAAACAGGAGCACCGCAATTCATGGATCAAAGGGAAGGGCTTTCTGCTTTGGAGACAGGCTGTGACACACTTGGCAGGCCTTGACAGAAGATTATGCCCCTCCATTGCAGAGAATGTGCTCTCTCTTTCTCAGCCTGGAGAACTCTGCCTCGGACCGCTTGCTCATTCTTCCACACAACTCAGTAAAATCCAGGCGGAGGTGAGCCCACAGCAGCTCTGGAAAACAGAACTTCCCATTTCTGGAGCGAGCCCCCTCTGTTGCTGTTTGGTGGGTCTTGATTGTTTTTCCCGAAAAGGCGTGTCCCTTGAAAGCTTGTGCAAGCTGCAATTCCTACCTATATATTGCAGAACTGTTTATGCCACGTTCCCTTCCCCCCCACCACCACCACTTTAGGAGAGCAAGTTTCAAGCATCACACGTTACCTTCTTGGGTGGTGGCAATTTCCCATGTTGTGTGAAGGCATTTCCAATTCATTGAATTGAGATAGACTTTGGGGAGACACCCTAGGATCCTTCCCACCTTTCATTGTATTCTTATCCTTTTCCTGTGTCTTCTGAGCATGAGAAAGGTGACTTTTAAGATGGACTGCGAATGAGATACGTCGGGCAACCGTCGCTTCTGCTTTTTATTGGAATGTGTGTATGGACTGCGAAGCCGGTGCCTGGTGATCTCGATCAGAGGGAATTCAAATCTACTTCAAGGGATCCATTCTTCTTCGTTGCTTTGTTTGTTATAAGCTGATTGCATGGGATAACGAGGATTCTGGAGCACCTGGACAACCTAGGTGAAACACTGCCGAGGACTTTGTGCTGCACACAAAGTCAAGTGAAGGGAGGACTTCAACTTCCAGAATTTTCCAGACAGCTTGGCCAGTACTGAGGATTCTGGAAGACACACTTCTGGAGGGACACACCATTAAGGAAGGCTGCCATCCTGCATTTTCCTCCATGGTACAGAGGACGTTTTGTAGATGCAGTGACCCACCCAGTATTTTAGCCAAGGACGTTTTCCTATCATTTATCTATCCTTCCACCACCAACAAGCAATTTCCAAAGCGTGCCATGGTTCTTTAGGACCAACAACTTTTAGAACACGCATGATCTAGATCAGGGCTTCCCAATATTGACGACTTTAAGACTTGTGGACCTCAACTCCCAGAATTCCCCAGCCAGCCATGGGAGTTGAGGTCCACAGGTCTTAAAAGTTGTCAGTTTTGGGAAGCCCTGTTCTAGACACGTAGGTTTGTTTTCTGGCACAAGAGGATGGGAAAACAACTGCATAAAAGAACAAGAAGGAAAAGAATCCTATCAATCAAGGCAGGAATCTGTTACGCTGTTGGTTTTCAAGAACGGTGGTTTCCCATCCTGTACTTCATATTTGTTCACCACATCATAAGTAGAATAAATTCTGCTTTAATGTTTTCATATAACTGTACTAAGGGAAACCCAGTGAGCTGAGTAGTACCACTTGAGAACATCTTTCAAGTGTCCCTTTAGGACAGGGGTCTTCAAACTTGGCCCTTTTATGACTTGTGGACTTCAACTCCCAGAATTCCTCAGCCAGGCACGCTGGCTGAGGAATTCTGGGAGCTGGAAGTCCACAAGTCATAAAAGGGCCAAGTTTGAAGACCCCTACTTTTAGGAGGTCTATAGGTATGAATGCCAGAATGTAAAGAAAATAGCATAACTTGGGGGAACAAACACAATTTTGACTTGCCTGTTTCTCCCATTCTATTTATGTCCTCCATCTGGGTAATGTTCAGTTTTATTTTTAAAGTAAATGCAATCCCAGTCTTTCGTTTGAAATGCAGTTCGGATGGATGTCATGAAATTGCAGAAGAAACTTTGATGTCAAAGTTTGCCCACCTTGATTGTATGTCTTGGCAGCTATAAAAGCAAGATCCCATTACACGGGGAAAAAATTCACCAGCAGACATAGGACTTCTTTAGATGATTAGTTGTTCATTTTTAATGCTTCATTGGTCACAACTAATTTTTATTAGCCTACATGTAAATACAGAGACACTTTTTAGTGTCCTGTTGATAGGGGAAGTTGGGCTGTATTTGTAAAGATAGTTAAATGAGAAAAAAAAGATTTTTTTTCCCCATAAAATGTGATTGTTTTTGAATTTGACAAATGAAGTCCTACATGATTGGGAATGGAATTGGATGGATTTGTTAGCAGCAACTGTCAGAGACACATTTGAGTGTAACAAAAGTGCTGCAATTTAGCAGCAGGGCCTAACTGTTCATCACAGAGTTTTAAGTAGTAGTACATATGACAGGAGATCAGTCTGCAACTAAGTGTGCCCTCAAAAATATTTCTGAAATTATTGTCCTATTTCCATTTGTTGGGTTATTGGGCCAACCCATTTCTCTATCTTACTAATATTTTAGGATGAGTTTATTTTGCCTCATTGTTTTTCTCCCAAGTTGGTTCTTTGGGATCTCCTAGATTCACAGTCTACACCAGGGATGCCCAACCTTGGGAACTTTGAGGCCCATGGACTTCAATTCCCAGAATTCCCCAGCCAGCCATGTTGGAGTCCACAAGTCTCAAAGTTGCCAAGATTGGACACCCTACGCAGATTGTTCAGATTGTTGCTGAATGTATTGGAACTGTAGAAACTCAGTTCACATTTTGCCCTAATTTGTAATGTGATTGAAGATTGTTGAATAAGCCATGATTTGCCATGTTTACAATTTGCCTTGAGCCATTATGTGTGGTTTGTGAACCACAGTGGCCAGGTTCTTTACAATCCACACTGAACCAGGGTTCACATGGATGGGGGCTAAGGCTATGATTTAGAGGGAAAATTGGGAGTTCTTAAGGTGTGAAACTGATGCCTTAAGCTTCTGAGGAATCTTTCACTGCCTCACTTTTTTTTTAAAAGAAGATCAGGTGTTTTGGCACCATCCAGTCTGGGAAGCCATGTTTGAAACCAGCATCATCCTTGCCTCCCTTCACTTAGATTAAGCCAGTTCCAACTGAGGGGAAAATGCACATTAGAGTTGTTTAGTAAGTTGTTCAGCCTCTCGCGCTTTTCCCATAACTCAGCAATGTCTTTGAAATTTTGCAAATAGTTAGAACACTCCCTTCCTGAGAAGGTTATATGGTGTAGCAAGTCTTCATGTATAATGTTTTAAGCCAGGGGTCTTCAAACTTGGCCCTTTTATGACTTGTGGACTTCAACTCCCAGAATTCCTCAGTCAGCGTGCCTGGCTGAGGAATTCTGGGAGTTAAAGTCCACAAGTCATAAAAGGGCCAAGTTTGAAGACCTCTTGATTCGTGGACCTCAACTCCCAGAATTTCTCAACCAGGCATGCTGGCTGAGGAATTCTGGGAGTTGAAGTCCACAAGTCATAAAAGGGCCAAGTTTGAAGACCCCTGTTTTAAGAGAACATCTCAGATTTCTCCCTTCATGGTCTTTCCAGCTGCATAGAGTTGACCATAGAGTATGGCCAAAAAGTCAAGATTGGCAGCTACGATGATGCAATCAATGCTTAGTCTGTTTTTTTGTGTGTGTTGTACATATGATGCCAAAAAAAAGGGGGGGGGTGTTAGAAACTTTGATTACACCATCACAGCCACCATCTTAATTTTTTTTTACAATATCCTGCAAACACCACTGTTCAAATGCATATTATAGAGACGATTCTCACATTCTGGTAACTACTATGTAAGCTCTCGGAGAACAAACCAGAGTCTAATGGCTTCAAATTGCCTATAAATATGTTCTATGTTAGAAACAAAAGTACTTGCTGGAAAGTTTGTGTTTACATGTCAATCTTTTCCTGTTCAATTGTACTAACATCTAAAGAGGATTGTTTATCTGCTGTTCTGATTTTCTAGGGATTGCTAGCAGGCATGAAACTGACCTAGATACATTTGTTAGAGCAGCAGTCCACAATCTTTCCGGCTTGTCGGCCCGGCCTGGCATGGGAAGAGCCTATGAGTGACAAGGCACACGTGTGCGCACAGTTCCACAGCTTCACGCATGAGCAGAGGGTGCTTGCACTCGCGTGCGAAGAGATGTAACTACATCCATGAAATTAAGATACATCCACCCACCCATCTATCTTTGCACCAAAATTAAGAATGATTATCCCCAGCAACCTTTGAGAGATGGGTGTGTATTTGACCATCTTGGGAATTAAAGCCAGTTCTCTTGTTTCTCTTGAGAGCATGTAATGTAGATTCCTAACTTGAGAGGTCCACCTTCAGCACATGGTTGTATTTGAGTCTTCTGTTCAATCTGAGCATTCAACAAATCAAAAGTGGCTGTTGCTTGAAGGACCCATTGTTCCAGTTCACCTTGACAGGTTTGAGTCTTTCAGTCATTGTTGGTTGTCTGCCGCATCAAGTTCTCTTAGTAGAGTTGTGGGTTTCATAGTAGAGTTGAAGGTTTCCTCAAAAGCAATTTCATGAAGTACTCTTTTCTTCACAAGGAAAAAAAGGGGGGAGAGGTGAAGGCGATCAAGCCAGACCTGAATGTTTCCAAGGTCCATTAATTTTTCAAAAAGTGATATTTCAACTAGGGTTGACTTGTGTGTCCTACCATCATGGTCTACCCTTACAGCCATGATCCTAGTAAG